AACCATAATTTGAAAAGATACATGCACCCCAATGGTCACAGCAGCACTATTTACAAATAGGCAGGACGTGGAAGCAACCTAAGCGTCCATCAATAGATGAATGGATAAAGAAGATGTGGTACATGTATACAATGGAATATTACTCAGCCATGAAAAAGAACAAAATAATGCCATGTGCAGCAACATGGATGGACTTAGAGATGATCATACTAAGTGAAGTAAGTCAGACAGAGAAAGACACATAGTATATGATATCGCTTGTATGTGGAATCTAAAAAATGGTACAAATGAACTTATTTACAAAACAGAAAGAGAGTCACAGACACATAGGAAACAAACTTATGGTTATCATGGGAGAGACGGGGGAAGGGATAAATTAGGAGATTGGGATTGACATATACACACTACTCTATATAAAACAGACAACCAACGAGGACCTACTGAACAGCCGAGGGAACTCTACTCAGTACCTCGTAATACCCTATACGGGAAAAGAATCTGAAAAGGAATATAATTCAGTATAATATAATTCAGTATAAAACTGAATCACGGTGCTGTATACCTGAAACTAACATGATATTGTAAATCAACTATACTTCAATAAAAAATGATACAGGGACTTCCGTAGTGGTCCAGTGGTAAAGAATCCACCTTACAATGCAGGGGACGCGGGTTCGATCCCTGGTCAGGGGAACTAAGACCCCACATGCCGCGGGGCAACTAAGCCAGCACGCCGCAACTACTGAGCTCGCACGCCACAACTAGAGAGAAGCCCGCACGCCACAACGAAGAGCCCGCGTGCTGCAACTCAGACCCGACGCAGCCAAAAATAAATAAATAAGTAATCAATAAATCTTTTTAAAAAATGATACAAATGAACTTATTAACAAAACAGAGTCACAGACATGGAAAACGAACTTACGGTTACCAAAGGGGAAAGGTGGGAGGGGGGGGATAAATTAGGAGTCTGGGGTTAACATAGACACACTACTATATACAAAATACATAACTAATAAGGACCTACTGTAGAGCACAGAGAACTCTGCTCGATATTCTGTCGTAACTGAGAAAGGAAAACAATCTGAAAAGGAATCTATGTACATGTATAACTGAATCACCATGCTGTACACCTGAAACTAACACGATATACTTATTTAAAAGATTTTTTAAAAGAATGACGTTAGGAAAGGTGTAAAATTGTCCAGGAAGACACTGCTGACCGTGGAAAAGTGTGGAACAGTGACACAAAGCAAGGGATGCCTTTCTCCTTTTAAAAACGAAGAACAGACACCACATTTCCTAGGATTTGGGACTAGGGAATTCCCTCGTGGGTTGCATGCGTCACTGTGAAATGGGCAAAGCAAAGTTTACCTGCCTGGAGTCCTTTTAAAAGTATTTAAATTATCTGTTTCCATTTGGGTTCATTTGAACGTTGTTATACTATTTTGCTGTTTCTTTTTGTGGTGTTCGGGTTTTTATTGGTATTTTGGGGTGGGTTTTTTTTTCTTTTTTTTTTTTTTTGGTAAATTAGCAAGGCTATTTGCTCCAAATAAGAGAGCTTGCATCAGCACATAATTACTCAAGAGCAATAAAGGTTTTGGTACCATGGATACATGGTGATAAGGTACGAAAAGTCTCTTCCCTGGAAATCTCTAGGTTGAGAAATGATCGACGGCACCTTGATTCCTGAGACCACACTCACGAATATATCGCTCTGAAAGCCAACCTAGTTATACTCTGATATGCAGGCATCCCTCCCATCCCAGCCCCAAACATGACCTCAACTGACTGTGATGTCAAAGGCAGATGGTACAGCACATAAAGCATTCAACGGAGAACTAAGAAAAAAGGGTCAGTACAGAGATGAGGGGGGAGGTAGGCTACAGAGAAATTCGGCATTTAGAAATAATTGTGTTAGGGAACTCTACTCAATACTCTGTAATGACCTATATAGGAAAAGAACCTGAAAAAGAATAGATACATGTATTATGTATAACTGAGTCACTTTGCTGTACAGAAGAAACTAACACAACACTGTAAAGCAACTATACCCCAATAAAAATTTCAAAAAGAAAAGAAATAATTGTGTTCTCGACAGTCATTTGCTAGTCTCAGGCTATCTGCTGATTTGCTCCGAAACAAAAAGAGAAGAATCCAGAGAATCACAGAAGAGCCATAAGCGAGGAACAGGTGGGGCTCCCCCTGGCCAAGTGGGAAGCCAGGGGATGTGGGGACAAGACCCTTAGAGGCTGCAGCAGGGTAGCTAGTCTGGACAGAAGCACCTCTGCAGGGCTGTGGGTTCCACTCCAGAGAGCATCCTGACCCAGACCGGGTCCGGCCGAGTCTGCAGGGAGCTAAGCCAAAAGGAAGGGTGAGGGCCGACCGACGGCCACCAATGCACAGGGAGACCCAGTGTCCCCACCGGCCCTACCCTTATGCAGCGGGTCCCCGGCACAGGGAGTGCCCCTCTTCCCCCGGGACTGGCTGGACCTTGGCTTGGGGGAATCCCGAGGCTGGGTGTGAATTCAGCAACGTCAGTTCGAGGACCACCACCAAACCATCCTCCTCTGGCCAGGTCTCAGCATCTCCCACCTGTCCCATGGACCCCTCCAGGCGTGCACGGGCTGCGGTGTGCACGGACTGACTTCCAAGTGCCAGGCTTCTGGTGTAAAATACAGACAGCGCTGCTTTCATGTCTGGTTCAATGCACAAGAGGAATTTTAAAAGGTGCGTGTGCGTGTGTATCAAGGGTTCACTCCCTCACTGGACCAGCCCCCGTGGGAGCGGCCACGCTCACCCTGGCTCAGACCATATCCCTGCTGCAGACCTCAGGGGTCACTCAGCTTGTGTCCAGACACCTCCCTGGCCCCCATGTCCCCTCCCAGGCCAGGGGGAACCTGAGCTTCCCTGAGCGCTGCCAGCTTCTGGGCAAGGGCCGCTCCAAGCAACACAAGGACCAGCGCAGGGCCGCTACCCACCAGGGACGCCCAGCCTCGCCCTTTCCATAAACACGGATGCCCGGGGGCGGGGGGGCTGCCAGCAAGTGGGGTGCAGGCAGGCTGGGGTTTGGGGCTTGGGCAGACCCCTGGGCTCTCTCTGCTGTCGCTGTGCACCTGACTGACTGTCCGCCCCGGCGGCTACGTCTCCCAGATGCAAATTTCATGGATCTACTTGGTGTCACTTGCTAGAAATGAAGACACAGGAGCAGACACGGCCGAGGCTCTGTCACCAGCCTTGACCAGAGGGACGTTGACAGCACCGTCCTGGGTGATTAGGAATCACCGCCCTGCCCAGCGCAGGCCCTGGGGGCCTCCCCTCCAGCACAGAGCTGCTACGGAGACGTTTTCCCTTTAATCCGTGAGCTTTCTGCACAAACTGTGAGTCGCAGCGTACAAAGCTGATGCCACCAGGAAACTGTCTAAAGATGTTCTAGAACGTTCTTTCCTCCCATCAATCAGGGCTACGGATTACAGCTCTGTCAGAACACATGAAGCTCTTAAACGTTTTACAGAAGCACACGTAGCCCCAGATGAACCTCGGCACCTTGACTGGTTAGGACTGTGTAACACGAGCGAGTTTGGGTGAATTATTTTTTCATCCTTTCCAGCGGTTTTTCAGGTCATGAAAAGAAGCCCACGCTTTGGCGGTTTCCACGAGGCTCCTCTTTGGGCCTGGAAATTATGGTTTCATGCGGTCACGACAGCAGCGATTCTTAAACTTGAGGGGGGCAGGGGGATTCCCGGGGAGGGCGTGGGAAAATGCAGGTTCCCGGCCCTGCCTGCTCTAGTTTCCGTGCTCAGGGCTGAAAATCAGCACTTCTAACCACCTGCCCCTGGTGATGCTACTGCTAGAGGCCCGGGAAATACACGCTGGGTGGAAACCAAGGCGTTGGAGAGACAGGCCCCCTGAGCCACTGCAAACTAGGGACGGGGGCTCACGATCGGCTGTCACAACAGTGGACCACTTCTGCCCCGGGGCAGGCGAGGGAGAGAAGCAGCGCCTCTGTCTGCAGGAGCTGCCTGGTGTTGCATGAGAGCTGCGGGAGCCCCCCTGTGTTCTGTCTCAAGATCAAAGGCATCCTAGTAGATATCTAATGAGAACCTGCCGTACAGCACAGGGAACTCCACTTCACGGTACAGTAGAAACTAACACAACATTGTAAAACAACTCTATCCCCATTAAAAAAAAAAAGGGGGGGGGGGGGGGGGAAAAGGATGAAAGACATCCTGCCACGAGGGCAGGGGACACATTGGGAATGTCAGCACGCCCCAGCCTTGGGCAGAGGGCCGGATGGTCAACCTTGAACACCCACAAGTGGGAGTCTTGACACAAAGGGACAGATACGGCTTTACCCGTCCGTCCGGGGTTTTCACGCGTCTCTCAGGAATCGCCATCTGCCCACAGATGGGAATCCTCAGCTTCTGGGTGATGCTTGAAACAGCCTGGCTCTGACGGCCAAGAAAGTGACCTGCATGCGCTTTTGTTAAACATAAGGCACCAGGCTTGGGCTCAGAAAGCACCGGAGAGCGTTGGTATCAGGAAAGATGTGAGGGCCGTGTGTGTATCCCCCGGGTTCAATAGGTAGAGAAGGCCCCGGGGATGCACGACGGGGCAGCGCTGATCCCCGTGAGACCCGGCAGGGTCCTGTTTGGTGCCTCTTCCCTTCAAGAACCCGAGAAAAGTAGGTGTACCTGCCGGAGGATGCATCCAACGGTTCCTGAGTGAACACGGGCCTCAGAGGGCCCTGGAGATCGACAGGGAATGAAAACGGGTCCCAGTTTCACAAGGAATGCCCTCCCCAGCAGGTGCCGTGGTAGCAGCATGCTTGCTGCCACCTTCCACGCCCCAAGGAGGACAAAAGCCCCCCCAGAGAAAAGCCCAAGAATCAGAGACACCGCTGCCCAGAGCCACTTCCACCATCCGGGTCCCTGAGCCCACGCCAGGGTCTGCAGCCCCCAGACCAAGCAGTAGAGCCATCTGTCCACCGGGCAGTAGAGTACCTTTGTCATTGAGGGTTTCCTCTTTTATCTTTCTCACAGCTTCTTCCGCTTTGCCTTTGTTATTTCCGCCTACAAGGAAAAGAAAAGATACAACTCAGGGTAAGGAAACTACCCCATGTGAAACAATGTTTTCTTGAGACAGTAAACACAGCCCTACAACATGCTAAGTGTCTCCTTCCGTTCTGGCATTGAATTTGGCCATCGGAGCAACTGTAGCGGATTCAGCGTACCCATTGAAGATGCATTTTCTTTAGGTGGATTGGTCAAAAGGATGCATTTCTGGGACATCTTACTTTTCAGTAATTCCAAGGACACGAAGCACCTAGTGGTATCGGGACCACGGGGACACCAAGAGCATATGAGCATGAAACTGTCAGCAGAAATGTCAGACTAGACATAGAGCTTTCGAGAGACTTTTGGTCCAGGCGGCCGCTCTGTTCACAGTGGCTTGAGCTATAAAAACCATCACGGGGGACTTCCCGGGAGGTCCAGTGGTTAGGACTCTGCGCTTTCACTGCCGAGGGTCTGGGTTCCATCCCCGGTCGGGGAACTAAGATCCCGCAAGCCGCGTGGCACGGCCAAAAAAAAAAATTAAAAAAGAAAAAAAACCATCGCGGGACATTCCCACCATGAGCTCGAGATGTCTCCTCCCGTTACCCGTGACTCCGTAAAATCAGCGGGTGCGATGCTGGGAACGTTCGCTTAGAAGGGTGGTGACGGGTCTTTTGTGTAGGATGAGGGTGTCCCAGTTGAAATTTGGGGCGAAAGAAAGTGAATGAGGTTTCTTTAATGCCTGAGTAGGTGAATCTGTGTTGACCGTGAGGGTAGAGCCTGGAGGGCAGGGGGGCTGTTCTTCCTTACGTCTGTGCGCAGACAGCCCTCACTTTAAGGGGGTCCTGATGGGATGGGGAGAAGCCAGGACAGCCTGCTTCCCAGGCAGCATCCCTGATTAAGGAGCCGGCCTCAAGCAGCGCCTCTGACCTTGTGCAGGAGAAGCCACACCTGAAACTCCCTGGGGGCTGAGTCACAGGACACCTTCAACAGGGAGGCCAGAGCTGGCACCTGTGAACACAGGGGTGGGCATGGAGCCCTGACGCCCAGAGAACCAACAGGGGGCAAGAGGACACCGCTGAGGGGCCTGGGAGGGGCAGGTCCCGCCCACATCACCCTCCCACCTGCAGCCACAGCCCCTCCTGGGAAGATGCTGGTTCTCTGGGGTCAAAGCCTATTGAGGTCTCCGTGAAAGTATACGACCAAGCAATCCTTTTATCATGCATCTCTGCATGCTGTTTACGTACCCGTGATCTCACTTACACACTCTAAGAGTATTCCCTACTATTTCCTCTGTGTTATGTGCTCTGTGTCACTGACAAGTGTCCCCAAGTGAATCTAGGCAATGCCCTTTCCAAAACAATCAACAAAAAAGATGTTTACAGCAACGGGTGTATATGTAACAAACATATAAGAGAGGAGAAGTGGTGAACCCAGGGGGAATGAGAAATGCCCCCTGCTGAAGATAAACGCGGCAAAGGACATCTCTGGGGGTGAACGAAAAGGAATATAGAAACTGTCACCGCCTCGGAGTTCAGAGCTGCAGACATCAAGAAGACGCAGCTGCAGAAGTCCTTTGCACCTCCAGCTCCTCAAAGAAATAAACATTATGCGGTTATGACGTGTTCTCGCTGGGAGAGCCTTCCTGCACTGCGGGAGTGCAGGGGCAGGATGGCAAAGAAGCATGTCTTCCATCCCTAAATGTTCCGGGCATCAAAGACCAAAAAAAAAAAACAAACAAAATAGAATTCATGGGGTAAGTGAGGGCTGCAGACATGTATGAGCTTGTTTCTGAAACTTGTGCAATTTTTAAACATTAAAACACCATCTGCTGCTGGGCTACCCTCCAGCCTGAGACCATCTTGACATCAAGGGCTGGCGTAGCAGAAGCTCAAATGAAGTCAGAAAGACATAAGTGTCCAGAGGAAGAAAGAAAGCTGAGGGTGGGCTGGGGAGAAGCGATGGAACAGCAGGACAAACTGGCCACGGCCGGCAGCGTCCCCCGACGGGCAGCTCACTGCATGCTCAGGCAATCAGGATATGATATCGGCTCTAGGCGGAATCTAAACAAAACTGACACGTATGAACTTATTTACAAAACAGAATCAGACTCACAGACTTAGAGAACGAACTTGTGGTTACCAGGGGGGAGGGATAAATTTGGAGTTTGGGATTGACTTATACACACTGCTAGATATAAAACAGATAACCAACAAGGACCTACTGTAGAGCACGGGGAACTCTGTACTCTGTGATGACCTCTATGGGAAAAGAATCTAAAAAACAGTGGATATATGTACACGTATAACTGATTCACTCTGCCGTACACCTGAAACTAACACAACACTGTAAATCAACTATGCTCCAACAGAAGACAGAAATTTAAAAAATTAAAAAGAAATCAAAGGAAAAAATATTCAGGCAGTCAGGGCTGGATTGTACGGGAGGGATGGAGAGGCACTTTGGGGGCAAACGTCATCTTTAGCAGCTGCCTTCTACGGGCTGGATATGGGATGCTTGACCCTACACAGCTGCCAGTGCTGCCCGTGCATCTCCGTACACAGCTGCCAGTGCTGCCCATGCACCTCCGTACACAGCTGCCAGTGCTGCCCGTGCATCTCTACACAGCTGCCAGTGCTGCCCGTGCATCTCCGTACACAGCTGCCAGTGCTGCCCATGCACCTCCGGAGTGATGGCTGCATACCAGGAAACAGTCCGCCACAACAGAAGCAGGGCTCAAACGCAGCGGGTCCGCCTTCCGTTCAGCCTTCGTGCAGCAGGGGTTAGGTTTTATACGTGCTGCAGTGCAAGGCTTCAGGGGCACCAAGTCGAGTGGGAAGGACAACCTCTCATATCCAGGTCCGCTCCCTGAAGACAGCACCCTAGCCACCAGATTGTAAAGATCTGCGAGAAGCAACAGAACTGCCACTTGTTTAAAAAAAAAAAAAAAAAAAAAAAAGATACTGGACCCAAATTAGGGCCAGCACACTACGGACCTGGGGCCACATCCGGCCCATCGCTTAGACAGTCATGTACTTTAAGTATTGACCGTTGCTGACTTCCTGCTGTAAGGGCAGAGCTGATCATCAATGAGAGACCTATGAGAATATTTATCATCCAGCCTATAGCAGAAAAAAGCGTACCAACCCCTGGTCTAAACCTTAGATGACCGTTTATGAAGAATTATGAATAAAGAGGGATCCTCCACCAAAACAGTATTTTGAAACAGTAGGAACTAAGATACTGTGAACAGATGGGAAACTGAATAATTCATGCATTCTTAGCAACACTAATGGGCTGGACTCGGACCCAGATTATCACTTCAATTCTTCAGCAAGTAATTGATTATTCTGTAAATATTCATGGCTTCGGGACTGAGAGTGTGCAATTGATTAAACCCATCTCTTAATCTGTGTTTAATAGAAAAATGCATTCTGCCCAATGATAATGTTTCATTAAGTGACCTTGTCTCCAGCTGTCATGTAAGAAGAAAAAGTGTCCCTCTCAAGATATGTTCAACTATCCCCTCAAAGACACACAGAGGCAGTAAGACTCCCTACGTGACCGGATTGACAGGGAGGGTCAGAACTGTGTCCCTCGGGGAAAGTTCAAACAGGGACATCAGAACGTTAGTGGGAAAGGAGACACAAGTGGGTGAGGATGTGCTGTCTACTCTCTGTTTAACTCGAGAAAAGTAGAAATTTGGTGCTGACGGATACCATACCTGATGCTCAAGAAACATCCCCTAAAGGAGGTGATACCAGTCAGGGCTCCAGTCCTCAAACGCTTGGGTACCCAGGCTTGCTCACGTATGCTCAGTGCCCGTGTCTGCAGTACATACTCATCACCCAGCTAGACCTCATCCTGACCTTCCCTCTAGATCTCCTCGTGACCTAACCCTCTAGACTTCCTCATGAGCTAAAACCACCACATCGAGGCAAAAAGCACAGAAACGGGGCTCTTTTTATTTCTCTGTCTTCCAACATCACCTAGCTTCACTAGGAATTAAGAAGATGAAGATGTCTGCTGTGGAGAGATCACAGGGGCAGAGACACCCGGCACTGGATGCCAGCCTCCCATCTTTGCTCAGACTAGAAAGCTCCTCCTGGATTGCTCCACCAGCATCTTTCCACCACTAGCCCAGGCCCAGCCGGTCCTCAGAGGGGATGTATGGCTCTTCCTTTTCAAGAGCTGACATCACTTTGACAAAGTCTTCCAAATATTGGCAGAAATCCAAGACATGGAAGGCTTGTCATGTCTCTAATGAGACAACAGAGGCTGCCCCTGCGTGGAAAGTCAGCAAATCAGGAGATTAGAGCCCATCACCATCTCACAGTCTCCCTGCAGTCTTGAGATCTGCTCCCACATCCTACCTCCTTGATAGTCTCAGGCCCCAGAGAGACATAAACAGATCACAGAGGTGCTCAAGTTGATAAAGAAGCTCCAGATATATATTCTCAGATGCATCCCCTCTCCCACAAGACCTCCTGGTCTGCAACCAACCCATCTTCATCTAAGGGGAGTTATGGATCGTGATAAAGTTGGTGATTTCAAGTTCAGAAACTTTTAATATGTCCACATCTATCAAGAGAATAGGACCTATCCGGGGGGAAAGGCAGGGAGCTGGGATGAACTGGGAGATTGGGATGGACATATATACACTATTGATACTATGTATAAAATAGATCACTAATGAGAACCTACTGTAGAGCACAGGGAACTCTACTCGGTGCTCTCCAGTGACCTAAATGGGAAGGGAATCCAAAAAACAGGGGATGTATGTAAACGTAGAGCTGATTCACTTTCTGTACAGCAGAAACCAACACAACACTGTAAAGCAACTATATTCCAACAAATTTTAAAAAAAAGACTTATTGAAAGAGGGGAAACAAAAGAAAAAGAAAACACACACACACAAAAGAAAACAGAGAATGGGACTTAGCCATATTCCTGATGAAAAGAACCCCTCAATGGGGACAACTTAGCCATATTCCTGATGAAAAGAGCCCCTCAATGGGGACAAAGGACAGTGAAGTAGACCAAGAAGGGATCTACTGCTCCCAAAGCAAGACAAATGTGGGCCATTCCACAGACCCCATCATACATGAGAGATAGATGGTGATGTGAAAAAGGGAATCACCGTAAGAAAATGCAGTCTTTGAAAAGAGAGTGGAACATGGGACAGGCCATGAAATGGAAGAAATTTTAATGGTGCAGTCAGGTTTTGCAAAAGCAAAAAAAAGTTCCAATGTAAGGGCGTGAGGGAAGAGTTGTGTGTGCCCAGATAAGCCCCGCCCCTCCAAGAGCAGAGGGCTGCACTGGACCCCTGGGGATGTCCCACGCGGGACTCAGGGCATCTGTGAGTTCCGATGGGGAAGAATGGACATCATCACCATCCATTCGGCCTCCAAGGGAACATGGACGAGACAAAGAGGACAGGATGGACAGGATCTATGGCTTGGCCACCAAAAGAAGCCCCATTCTCCTATCAGGGTTCAGTTCTTGAAGATGTCTTGAAATAAGGTTTAAGATCCTCATAGCAGGACTTCCCTGGTAGTGCAGTGGTTAAGACTCCACGCTCCCAATGCAGGGGGCCAGGGTTTGATCCCCAGTCAGGGAACTAGATCCCACATGCATGCCGCAACTAAGGAGCCCACCTGCTGCAACGAAGGAGCCTGCCTGCCGCAACTAAGACCCAGCGCAACCAAAGGAAAAAAAAAAAAGATCCATACTATGATGGATTTCAGTTTGTGCACTGAGGCCTCACTAGATGTGAAGGTATTCAGGGACCAGAAAAGGGGGAATCTGGCTGTGGATGGAGCTTACGGACAGACCCACAAAGGAGAGAGATTCACGTGTGTTTAAATCCACAGCCCCAAGCGCTGTGTCTGAGCTGTAGTCATCCTTCAACACACGATGGAGGAAAAACGAGAGAAAGGAAGAAATGAATCGATGATGAATGAATGAAGGGCCGTGGCTCATATTTTAGAAAGACTGAAGTGAAAGCAATCCCTAACACCTAAAACCAGACCTGCAGTACGATTTTCATAAAAACGGACACCATAAAAGGGATTAACTGAATCCAGATGATGTCGGGAGAAGCATGATAAATATTACGGCCTTTTTTCAAAGCTCATCTGCCCATATCCTTTTTTCCAGCTGATTTAAACTTCTACCTCCAGCTGAATGGGAAGGTTCCCAAATGTAAAATGAGCTCACTTGAACCATCTTCGCTTTCCTAGCAGAAGAAAGTCCCTTCATTTTCAAAGAGGATTTAGGGACCAAAATAAGCCATTATTAGAAAGTTTCATACAGAAGAAGGGAAACACTGAGAGTTTCGGTTCAGAATCTGAAATGCAGAAGCTGTTCAGATTCTGTTGGGAGCTGAATCATGACATCGCAACGTCATATGTTGAAGCCCTGACCCCCAGGACCTCAGAGTGTGGCTGTATTTGGACATGGGGCCTTTAAAGAGGGGATGAAGCTAAAATAAGGTCCACCCACTAGGGTGGACCCTGATCCCATAGGACTGGTGTCCTTATAAGAAGAGGAGATCAGGACACAGACACACACAGGGGGATGCCCCTGGGAGGGCACAGGGAGAAGACGGCCATCTACACGGCAAGGAGAGAGGCCTCAGGAGGAACCAGCCCTGCCCACGCCTGGATCTCAGATTCCAGCCTCTAGGACTGGGACAGGAAAAATGTTTGTTGTTTAATCCACCCAGTTTATCCTATGATTTGTTAGGAGAGGTCTGGCAAACTAGAGCTCTCCTAACAAACTAACTCAAAACTGCCTCTCCTGGCAAACTAGTTTGCCTCTCCTGGCAAACTAATTCAAAACTGCAGTGAATCACACAGGGAAAAAAATATATGATCCATATCACAGCAGAACCTCGACTCCTGTCCAAAAAAAAGCACAACACAATTTCCTGTCTCTTTCCATTTTTGAGTATTCACCCTTACGCCTTCTGCCCTTGTTGGATCTGGAAGCACATCAATATTTCCATACACGTAGAAGCAAGCAGCTGCGTATCTCCCGCTCGCTCTAAGACACAAGGAGTTGTAGAAGTGAATCATCACCTATGATGACGTGCATGCCCAGTTTGGCCAGATGCTTCGCTGTCGCATATCCAATGCCATCAGTCCCGCCGGTCACTATAGCAACACGCTCGAGTTGTCGGGGAAAAACTGCAGGAGAAAAGAAAAAGAAACCGAGGTAAAGGTTTAGCGGCAGAGCACACATTGATGAGAATGAAGTCGCAAAAGAGGGCGTGACGCCAACGGGAGCTGCGGTTTGATATTTGTGGGTTTGCTCTTCAGAATATTCCTACAGGCTCGGGATGCACGAGTGTCATACAGTACAGTTGCCCTGAATAAGGACAGCCTGGTAAAGCCACCTGATAAATCCTTGCTCGGTCCCCGACGATACCTTTGCAGGAATTAACGCCGCCAAAATGATCCACAGAGAGCTCCAGAGAGCGTCTATCGTTGACAGCTGTGGGTGAGAGCCCTGGGTTAATCCTCTCGGACCGTGTTGGTTGTGTTGTAAAGTGTAGGTTTTATACTCGTATGCATTTTCTCAAATGTAGTTAGGAAATTGCTTGTTATGGAGGGACGGCCCACTGTTTTCTACAAAGTCTGAAGACCACATGAGAATACAGAGTATCTTATAAAAACGGAGAACATGATGACTCCTTTAACCATGTACCTTCGCATGAACCTACACATATGCAAAACGTATGAGAATATACGTTAACGTGATGGTGTAAAATTGACTGTTTCTACTCACACACAGAGAGAACAGACTCGTGGTGGCCAATGGGGCAGGGATTGGGGGAGGGATGGATTGGGAGTTTGGGGTTAGCAGATACAAGGTATTACATATAGAATGCATAAACAACAAGTCCTACTGTAGAGCACAGGGAACTATATTCAATATCCTGGGATAAACCATCATGGAAAAGAATATGGAAAAGAAGGTATATGTATGTATAACGGAATCACTTTGTTGTAGAGCGGAAATAAACACGTTGTAAATCAACTATACGTCAATAAAATAAATAAACTTTACTGTGTCTAAATAAAATCTTAAACTACCCAAAGTGTCAGTAACATGTTATTATACAAGATGAAATAATGCTTTACTAAACGTCAGACTTCTCTTTTTGACTCCATTTTAAAATTGTACTGTGCAATGTGTGACCAAAATAAAGAGGGTGTATTGTGATGTAAAAATAAAAAAGAAGAAAGAAAGAGAGAGGGAGGGAGGAAGGAAGGAAGGAAAAAGTGTAGGTTTTATTATTATTCAAGTATGGGGTGAGGCCAACAGGTCAGGAGATGACCAATATTGAAAAGACGGATGATCACTCACAGTTCCCAAGAGGAGGGGGCACAACACACCATGCAGGGTTACACGGGGAAGCACCAGGGTCGGTCAGGAGGCAGAGGGAAAGGGGGAAACGAGACAAGAGCCCTGCAGGAAGGAACAGGTGAGGCAGGGTTAGGATGGGTGTGAATAATTTCATCAGGTCCTGGCTGCAGGGACTGTCCTTGTTGTCTGGTACCTGCCCTGGGGGGGATGAGGGCAGGTGGATGGTGGCCCAGAGTATGGGAGCCCCTTAGAGCAGGGGGTGGGGTGTGCATCTGGACGGGTAGCTTTGTATTTGAGAAGCATGCTTACAGCTCAGTTATTTGCTATCCGTAGGAACTGGCTAGTCCTAGGAGCTAAAGCTCCTATAGGACCAAGGTGGCAAAGATGAATTCTGTATTTTCCCTGTCTCCTTTATTTCACTTTTTTTACACGTTTTTTATTGAAGTAGAGTTGCTATACAGTATTTTATAAGTTTCAGGTGTACAACATAGTGATTCACAATATCTTAAGGTTATACTCCACTTATAGTTCTTATTAAATATTGGTTGTATTCCCTGTGCTATACAATATATCCTTGTAGCTCTTCTTTTTTTTTTTTTTTTTTTGACCGTGCCACACAGCATGCGGGATCTTAGTTCCCCGACCAGGGATGGAACCCATGCCCCCTGCAGTGGAAGTGTGGAGTCTTATCCACTGGACGGCCAGGGAAGTCCCAGTACCTTACTTATTTCATACACAGCAGTTTGTATCTCTTAATCCCCTACCCCTATCTCTCCCTTCCCCCCTTCCCTCCCCCACTGGTAACCACTAGTTTGTTGTCTAGAAAAGATAAACTTTTTTTTTTGCTCTGCGGCACGTGGGATCTTCCCGGACCGGGGCACGAACCTGTGTCCCCTGCATCGGCAGGCGGACTCTCCACCACTGCACCACCAGGGAAGCCCGAAAAGATAAACTTTTTAATAAATGGTGTGGGGACATCTAAAAAGACCTTTGAAAACGATGAAATGAGATCCATACCTCCCAGGACACATCAAAATGAACTCTAAGAGGAAAAAAGCTAAACAATGAAAATATTCGAAGAAAGCAGGGACAAATTTATTCTCAACCTCAGAGTAGGAAATGCCTTCGTAATTCTAACTCAATATTCAGAAGAATAAATAGATCAATTTCACTCCTAAAAAAAGTGTACACAGTTTAAAAAAAAAAAAAACACACCATAAGGACTTGCCTGACGGTCCAGTGGTTAAGAGTCCATGCTCCCAATGCAGGGGGCGCGGGTTCCATCCCTGTCTGGGAACTAAGACCCCACAAGTCACGAGGTGTGGCCAAATAAAAAGAGAAAAAAAATCCTACCAAAAAATTAAAACAACACCATAAGCAAAGTCACATTCAAAGGGCTATTTTCCGAGTATGTAAAGAGTTCTTAAAAATCAAGAAGAAAAAAAAAAAAAACAACTCTACAGAGAAGAAGGGCAAAAGCATTTGTTGATATAAAAACATACTGAGGGCTTCCCTGGTGGCACAGTGGTTGAGAGTCCGCCTGCCGATGCAGGGGACACGGGTTCGTGCCCCGGTCCGGCAAGATCCCACATGCCATGGAGCGGCTGGGCTCGTGAGCCATGGCCGCTGAGCCTGCGCGTCCGGAGCCTGTGCTCCACAATGGGAGGGGCCACAGCAGTGAGAGGCCCGCGCACCACAAAAAAAAAACATACTGAAATGGCCCTTAAAAACACATGCCCAAGTTTACACCTAATAAGAGAAATGTTAATAGTTAACGAAAACTGCTAGATACCATGACACCCATCAGGTTGGCGGAAGTTTAAAGACTTCAACAGCCTCATTTCTCTCACCTACAGCGTGGGTAGGAGTGCAAAACAGCACAGTCCCCATTGGGGGAAACTGGGTAATATCTAGTGCAATTACATGTGCTTCTATCATTTGATCTCGAAAATTCACTTCTAGGAATCTGCCATGGAGAGACAAGGCCGGTTGCCAACGTAAAGCCAAGGTTCCTCAGGGCAGCACCTGTCTCTCCGTAGAGAAGGATGGATAAACCCCCTGCCATACCTGCATACAGGGGGGCATCCTCCATCCCTACAACGGGGTATCCTAGCCCATCTGGGTCTCCACCATCACACAGGGGACACTGAGCAGCCCCGAGAGGGCCAAGCTCAAGTGATAATTCCACCTGTTGGCCAGGAGTCAGGTTTGATCCACTTGTTAGAAAATCCTTCCAGTAAGTGGGGACAACCTGTTGTCCAGCGCTGCAGTAAGGCGTTGCTGCCGGTAACATGAAGCAACAACCCTACAAAGAAAAGCCCCGAGAGGGATGCAGGGGCAGCGATATCTCCCGGGAGGCGCGGAGGACAGCCACTAACCACCCCCCACCCGGGGAATATTCCCCATCGCCGCGTCCATCAGAAAGAGCACGTCCTTCGCAGAAACCCCAATTGAGTCCTTCGGGCGCCCCACAAAGTTCCCAGACACCCAGGCTGGATTCTACTAAAGGGATTCCAACCGCGTGCGGGTTTAGTTCCTGGGCAGGTGAGCCGGATTAATAAAAGTGCTCTTTTCCTAGGCTCCCGGCGTTTACAGAGAAGGGTTCCAGCACCGCACTGCAGGGCGGGGAGCCTTTGGGAGGACCCAACTCAACTTTTCTTGTCCCCCTGGCATCCATCGGTCCCTCCTGAAAATGCAGACCAACAGCTGCTGAATGCGTGTGGGGCACTGTGCGGCGCCGACTGTGTGCCGTGAGCACAGGTGCACGCTGGGGTCTTGGGCTGGAGGGGACACCTTACAGCTCCCGGTGTGACCACCTCCCACAGAAGAGGCAACGGACGGGGAAGTCCCCGGTGGTCCAGTGGTCAGGACTTGGGGCTGTCGCTGCCAGGGGCCTGGGTTCAGTCCCTGGTCAGGGAACTAAGATCCCGCAAGCCACGCGGCAGGGCCAAAAAGAAGAGAAAAACCAAAGGACGACCACAGAAGCCTCGTCGGCAGCCTGAACTTTCATCCCAAAGCGAGGTTACGGGGGAAACTGAACAGTTAAGACCAAGTAGAATACAACACTGGTCCCCAAACTTTCGCAACCTGCAACACACTTGCTGCCCAGGAGTTTTTTCACACCACTGCTAAGGAAAAGAAAAAGAAATAAAAATATATGTGTAAAATATATTCTTATATAAATATAAATGAAATGTTTGTTTCTATTTAGATATTTATAAATAGTATCTATGCTATAGTCTTATCCTAGGTAAAATTATGTATCTATATCTCAAATGTTACATATTTTACATATTTATTTTAATATATTTAAATATGTTTAATATAGTTAATACATAAAAAATATGTAATAATGTAAAATAAGTAAACAAGAAAAGTAAATAAGATAATAGCAAATAGGATGTATTATTTAATAAGAGACAATATGAAAATAAATTAATGATACTTTTATTTTAACATAAATATTTGTCAATATAAGTAATATTTATGAATATTAAATATTTTATAATGCTTACATATTATACTATGCAAATATTTATTAGTTATACATGTTTATATTTATAATATTTATTATTTATAATGTTTACATTACTTATAAGATTTATAAATTATATAATATTTATATATTTATAATATTTATAAATATATTTATTTTATATTTATATTCACATATTTTATTTTCTATTTTATTTATGTAAAAATGATAGTCATATATATATGCAACTAGAGGTCATCATACTAAGTGAAGTAAGTCAGAAAAGGAAAGACAAATACCATATGATATCACTTATATGTGGAACCTAAAATATGGCACAAA